CTAGTTTATTTCTCTTGTAATAGAGTAGTTAGTTAGTTAATTATTTAATTTATTCATTCGGTTTTGTAATAATTAGTTTAATTCGGACTCTTGGACTTTGATTCGCACCTTCTTGCACGAGGGCCAACATGTAATAAGTTGTATGCCTTTCAACCCCATGTCTTTCTCCTTTTTAGTTACTTACTTACGATGGTTAGTATAGAAACATCATTTTTCAAATTAGCATTCTTATGCGTTGCATCTATTGTATTGCATGCATCCAAGGTTCGACTCATCATACTAACCCAATATCAATGTTCAACTTTGTTGCTTGAATATGTGTTTTGTCGCATGTCTTGAATGGAATCATATGCCATGCTCATAGTCGAGCCTATAAATTACATAATGTGTGCGTTGCATTTAGTCATATTGCATTAATTAGGAGCATGAATATTTTTCTAATTATTTTGCTTTGTTTTGGCTCGGAGTACTAAGTGAGCAATTTTGAGTTTTAGCATATTACATGAGTGTGGTTGTTACCATGCCAAAGCATACTTCCATGAGGCTATTTGTTTAAATGATATAACTGTTTGAATGTCTGTAGATGAAAGCTAGTTGCTTGAATTGAGATAGTTTGATTATTGTCCATTTTAAGCCCACTTTTTCAAGTGGCATATTCACAAAACTCTTTTCAAAAAATAAACATAAAATCAAATGTTCCAATTCTTGCAAATTAATCTATACTTGTGTGCGTCATATAGTAAAAATAACTAATAAAATTAGAACAAGAGCATATAACGTAAATAAAAATTACATCATGATTAGTAGAGGCTGATCTTTGATTGGGCGAGTGAGGTGCTCAATCTATGACTTTTCCCTCTCGTACCTAAGTTCCTGAGCCGAGACACTTTGGTGATGATGGATAAGTGACTTTTGGCACGAGTCTCAGGTTTCCTAAATTTTCTAAAATATGTAGGTGGTGACTCTAAAATCTGGCAAAGCAATCCATTTCTGGCATTTCATTCAAATATCAATTTTTCAAAAGAATTGTCGGATTTGGACTCCTTTGTGTTTTCACTGTTTCACATTGCATTTTGTGAAATCAGATTTAGAATCACGGGAGTCCGAACTGTAGGGCTAGTCATCTTCCGAAAGGAATACGAAAAGCAAGCTACAATGAGACATTTGAGTCCATAAGAAGAAAAAAAAAAGGAAAAAAAATAGAGGATAGAATCAAACAGTTAATAAGATCATTATTTAGAATTTATTGGTGCTTACCGTCTTTTTATGACTAAAATTTTTATTTTAAAAAGTAAATTTTTTGGCACAAAATTGTTTTATTCCTCAAATTGTATTTATAACTAAAAGTCTTTTTTTTTGGAGGAGAGAGATTACATGCAGGTGAGAGAGAAGGAGAAAAACAAATTACAAACACATGGAAGGTGAGGTGCAAATGAAAGGATATAAGGGTGCACTTGCAGCCCTCTACATATGTCAATAATTTTTTTCCTTCTCTTATCTACATATAGTTTTCCTTTTTTTAAAAAAAAAAAACTTTTTTGGGACAGTCTTTTTAGTGATGACTTTCATTATGAAAAAAACTTGTCTCATAATATTTTTTGAAACAAAATTTTTAGATTTAAACATGAAAAAAAAAACTCTAAAAAATGTATCGTATTAGGTATTAAACAAATATAATAAATGTAGCATTTTTCATAAATAGTGATAAAAAATTGATGACACAAATTTTTTTCAGAGAAATTACAGCCTCGTGGGTTTTTGAATTTTTTTATAAATACATGAAAATTTTTAAAATTTTAATTACTAATGTTTATAAATTTTATTATTTATGTGTAATCTTTAAAATTTTAATTATCAATGTATTAGAGCATCCAATCAAATGAAAAATTATTGATTCGTATTAAGGTATTACATGATCAAGTCCCTCATCAATTATAATTTATCGTATTTCTTTATATTTAACGATCACCAAATATAAATTTATAAATCTTATTTCTCCTATCAATCACGAGACTATTAAGACATAATAAGACCGTATCCAAAACTAACCAATAACTTCTTCAATAAAATGGGTAGCAAATTGTTCATCAGGCAGTGAACAAATGAAATTAGAGGTGGTGAGGAAAGCCTCATGAGTGACCATGGCATCACTAATATTACGTATGCACGTAGACTATTTCACCCTTTTCTTTCTTTTTTTTTAACATACCTCCTTACCTCATTTAGGCCTAGTTTGGAAAGACTAAATAAGTGCACTTTTTGACTTTTTTTGTATTATGTGTAAAAAAAGTAGAGAGGAGATGTTGATTGATATGACCAAAAAAAGATAAAAAGATAAAATAAATGTACTTTTTTGACAGTAACCAAACTTGGCCTTAATAACAAAAAAAAATGCACTATGTTTTGGGCCTAATAAATAATTGAATGAAATAAAAACAAAATACAAAAAGCTGTTCGATGTTTCCAGAGACCAAAGGAAGAAGACAAATTCCCCACTACAGTAGATGCATGTGTTGTGTCCCTTATCCACCCTGCACACGTGTCAGTCGTTCAAGCCCCTTTATCCAGTGAAATTATGTTGTTTTCCTGACAAAATTATTATCAAAAAATTATTTTAAATAAAAAATAATTATAATATTTTTTAAATTATTTTATACCTCCTTTTTTAAATACTTAAAATATCAATTAAAATAGTCAATTTTCAAATAAAATCTTAATAATAAAATTTTGAGAAATATTATGGTAAATATCTTTCAAAATGTATGTACCATATACTCTTTATAACTAAAAAAAAAAATAACATATATTTATTTTTTTGAGCCATTACTTGAAAGAAAAAACAATATTGTAACTAAATACAATATGAGTTATAACTAAAAGGTTCATGAGTCAATTTTAAAATAATATTATAACTAAAAGAGAAAGTAAAATAATTAAAAATATATATATAATACACATTTTTAAAGGAGTATATATTAAAGTTTTGGTAAATTTTATTTATACTTGCATGACTTATAAATTAATAATAATATTAAAAAAAAATCATAAAACACCATTCTTCGTAAACACAACCGATAGTATTTCAAAAAAGACTCAATAATTTCGCTTTCATTTTTTTTTAATTTTACTTTTTAAGGTACAACGGAAAGTAATAATTTCTTCTTCATCAATCATTTGCTTCGCTGTATGAGAAATCATAGCCGGCTACCACATTTCAAAAAACATATTAAGGCACCGTTTGGGAAGGTGGGTTGGGGGCTTTTTTGGCTATTTTAGTCACAAAAAACAAAATAGGCTATTTTAGCCATAACAAACAAAACATCACATCCAACCCATAATCATTGGTACAACGGAAAGTAATAATTTCTTCTTCATCAATCATTTGCTTCGCTGTATGAGAAATCATAGCCGGCTACCACATTTCAAAAAACATATTAAGGTTTGAGATGTGAGCTGTTTTTTAATTTTTTAGTTTTTTAGGTATTTTAATTTGGGGTTAAAACGTTCCGTTTGAAATAATTTTTTTATTCTTTTGTTTTTGTAAGAGAAAAAATAAAATAATTATTGATGAAATGTGACATTTTATCCTATTTGACTAAAATAACTTATTTTGTCTTATACGACTGCTTTAGCCCGGACATTCCAAACGAGCACTAAAACATTAAAAAATACAATAATGCTAGAGGGTCACAATTTTTGTGACCACAATGGCTCAAAATTGCCAAAACGACGTCGTTTTGGCATGTTTTGCACCCAAAACGACGTCGTAAAACTCATATCATTGATAATTATAAAATATATTAGATTTATTTTTTAAATTTAATAATGTGTTAAGAAGATGATCGATTGATAATTATAAAATATTTAATTATAAATCAATTATTTTCTTAACATATCATTGAATGTAAAAAATAAATCTAATTTTTAAATTTGAATAGCAATGCTTCAAAACACCCTCATTTTTTTTTCACTTTGTAAAACTCATGACATTAATCTCACTTGTCATTACATTTAATTTAGATCTGAATTCAAGGTTGTTGTTCGAGTTTGTGAGATTTATTATAGATTTATTTTGATGATTTGAACCGTTCATTTTGTAAGTTTATTTGTATATATCAATAAATAAATTAATTAATTAATCCGATAATCTTAATTTATTTAATTTATCGAGTTTGTAACTAAAAAAAAAAATTATTTTTAAAAAATACACTTGCTATTTATTTTTGGGTGACAAATATAATAAATTAAAAGACTAAGATTATCGAATTAACCTAATATTTTTTTGTATGAATAGTATACATAAAAAATTTTACAAAATGAATAATTCAAATTATTAAAACGACATTTGTGGTGAATATCATAGTACCCTTCATCCAAAATTTAGGCAGGAGGAAGCCTAAGAGAAAATATAAAAAATGTGAATTAATAAATAGAATAAAATATTGTTACAAAAATACTGGATAATTTCATAATTTATTGAAGAAATTCTTTTGTGATTTTAGAGTATTATTCATGTCAGGGCACATGCAATCTTCTAAAAATTAACACAAAATTAAATCTCACCATTTAAATTAAGAAAAAAAATACGCACGTTTTTTTTGACATTCAAAAAGTCCATCATGATGTTTTTATGATAAATTTTTCATAAACATTTTTGTTTTTGTACATCATAGTTTCCATAAATATAACAATACAGATATACATATATACATTATGTATCTAGGTACATCATATTTTCCACAAGGGTAATGCTAGGGATACCAAATTTTCTACCAAACAAATGACCAAATGTCTCACATGAGTGTGGGGTCCGCAATTTTGTGGGTCCCACACCCATGTGAGACATTTGATCATTTATTTGATAGAAAATTTAGGACCCCTAGCATTTTCCTTTCCACAAATAAAACAATACAGATACATATATACATTATATATCTAGGTTCTGAGACCGGTTAACCGGTTATAGCAAGTTAACACGGCCTATAAGTAGATGAACACTGCGTGAGATGTGGAGACCAGTACAAACCACAAAAGAGTGAAGTTAAAAAGAAAAAACCACACCTCTTGCATTCTAGACCGTCTGATCTTGATCATCCAACGATGCCGATCAACCGGATTGCAGTGGGTACCCGGGAAGAGGCGACCCACCCGGACGCCCTCAAGGCGGCGTTGGCGGAGTTCATCTCAACCCTAATCTTCGTCTTCGCCGGAGAAGGCTCCGGCATGGCCTTCAACAAGCTGACCGGCGACGGCGCCGCCACCCCCTCCGGCGTCATCTCTGCTGCCATAGCCCATGCTTTTGCTCTTTTCGTCGCCGTCTCGATCGGAGCTAACATCTCCGGCGGCCACGTCAACCCCGCCGTCACCTTCGGCGCCTTCATCGGCGGCCACATCACCCTCCTACGTGGCATCCTCTACTGGATTGCCCAGTTGCTTGGTTCCATCGTGGCTTGTTTATTACTCAAGTTTTCCACCAATGGCATGGTGAGTTTGTTGCTAAATATTAACAGTTAGTTATTTCAGTTTGTTAGTTACGAGCATTTAATGGATCACAAAATGCTTTCACAAAAAATTGTAATAAAAGACAGTTTAAATTCGATTTTTGTGAAATTTGTATTTAAAATACAGTAATATAAATTTATTTATAAATATCAATATATGATTTAGGTCTAGTCTCTACATGAAACCAATAATATACTTAAAAGTTTCGTTTGGAAATTGCGTTAGTTTTTTGACTTTTTGATTTTTTTAGTTATTTTAATCTGTGGCTAAAAAGTCTGATTTAGAAAGGGTTTTTAGTTTTTTTAATTTTTTTTTAAAAAAAATGTAATGATTATGAGTTAAATGTGATGTTTTATCTTATTGGGCTAAATATTTTATTTTATTTTTTTTTGACTATTTTAGTTCAAAAAACCTCAAAATCAACTTGTCAAACAGAGACTAATTTAATTTCCATTCACTTGACACTTAAATTATGGGCAAAAGTCTGGACTTAGGGGTCATTTGGAAAGAACGAAAAATACTTAAAAAAGCAAAAAAGTTATTTTTTTCTTTATTTTTTTACATTTTTTTTTGATTTTTTTTTGTAAAAAATCAAAAGATTATTTAAAAAGTCAAATTTCAAAAGAATTCTTACTTTCTAGATAATCTAGTGTACTATTTAAAATCAAGTCTTTCATTACATTTTTAGTGCTCCAATTTGTATCTTTATTATGTAATAATCTTGGCATTAGTGAGTTATTTATGGTAAATTCATATTTTAAATTGTGTTGCTTTTTTGTATTTATTTATTTATTGTGTATTTTTGTTTTTCATTGTGGTAGTCAACATCGGCATTTTCGTTGTCCTCGGGAGTGAGCGTATGGAACGCTTTCGTATTTGAGATCGTGATGACCTTTGGATTAGTCTACACCGTATACGCAACCGCATTGGATCCAAAGAAGGGTAATTTGGGAATTATAGCACCAATCGCGATCGGGTTCATCGTGGGCGCTAATATCTTGGCGGGTGGGGCATTTGACGGGGCTTCGATGAACCCGGCCGTTTCATTCGGCCCGGCTGTGGTGAGCTGGACCTGGGACAACCACTGGGTCTACTGGGCCGGGCCTCTGATCGGTGGTGGGCTTGCTGGGCTTGTCTATGAGTTGTGCTTCATGACCCATGGCCATCAACAATTGCCCGCGACTGACTACTAAGCCATTTCAAGATTTTTTTTTTTTTGGGTGCGCTCTCTTGCTTTCTGTATTTATTTACTTCTGTTTTTGAGGGGTTTTTTTTCATTGTTTTTTCATTGTTAATAATTTGTAACCGTTGGATCTTTTCTTGGTTTGTGGTCTTCGGCTGCTGTATCCCTTGAAATATTTGTTGTGTGGCTGTGGGATGGGGGTCTAGTGTTTGGTTGTTATTCTATTCCACTTTGTACGATTTTCACTTCATTCGATTTAATTTCAATTTAAAAAAATTGATTATACAGAATTAAATCATAAAAACATGCATGGAATAGGAAGAGGTGAACAGTTAATTATTTATTTTTTTTTTGAAAATTTTAATCAGTTTTAAAATTTGTTCAAATTTAATTTATTAAATTTATGAATCAATTTCAAATGAGTTTTTGTTGAGTTTCGATTGATATGATATTTTTATATAGTTGTACGCCTATTGAACCGAGTTAATTAATTATTAAAACTTGATTTGAAAATTTTAACCAATTTGAAAATATGTTTAAATTTAATTTATTTGGTTAACAAACTGAATTCAAATGAACTTTTAATTAACTAAATATAAGTTAAATTTGCATTATTTGATTTATTTATCATCCCCTTGTGAGGCCTCATACCCCTCTTTGATCTGACTGGTACAAGTTTATGAATTGATCAATTACAAAACTAGCCAACCCCTATTTTAGAATAACTTGTTTTGAAAAATAAGTTAAAAGTTAATTTTTTTTTATTTAAAAGAAAAATTATTAACTTCCAGCCAGATTTTCAAAATAGGCCAATGTGTAACTAATAAATGTTCATTCCTATATAAAAAATAAATAAATAAAAAAAGCACTCAATTAATTTTTTTCTTTTTACTCATTTTATAAAAAAGCATGAGAGATTCTCTCCCGATCATATCTCATTGGAAGATATTGTTAGACCTAATTAGGTTTGTCATGAAACTCATATTCATAATTCCAATGGTTTAATATGTCTCTGTTTGGGAAGATGGGTTAGGGTGGGTTTGGCGTTATTTTAGTTACAAAAAGATAAAAAAAGTATTTTAGTTTAATAAGATAAAATATCACATTTAATTCATAATCATTACATTATTTTTTTCATAAAAAGTTTAAAAATCTTTTCTAAACGAAATTTTTTAACCTTAGATTAAAATAACTAACAATCAAAAAGTCAACACATTTCTCAAACGACCCTATGTGAGCTCGTATATAACATATCACTCCGTTTAATGTAAAATTTAAATAATAATTATAAATTAATAATAATTTTTTAATATTAATAATTAAAATATTAACTTTTTTATACATATATAATAATTTTTCTAAATTATCATTGTCAGGTGATTTTTTCTAAAATAAAAAGTGAGTTGTATAGCTGGAGGATGAGTAGTGATGACCAGTGAAAAATTATTGGTTGATTTAGGAGGATCATATGGTGTTGTTTGGGAAGCGGGTTGGGTTTTTGTTTTTTTTTAGTTATTTTAGAAGTGGTTTGGGATGTTCTAAATAAGTGTATTTTTTGACTTTTTATTAAATATAAGTTGGGTATGGGTTGAGTTTAAAATGATGTGGTAGAAAGGTGATGTGACTTAAATAAGATAATGTGACTTAAATAGGATAGTGACTTTTTGACTTTTTAATTTTTTTAGTGTATGCCAAACAAGGCCTTAATCTGGGTTAAAAAGTTTGATTTGAAAAGGGTTTTTTGGTTTTTTTAGTTTTTTTTGTGAGAGAAGAGTATAATGATTATGAGTTGGATGTGATCTTTTGATTGTTGTGGTTAAAATAGTTTATTTTGTCTTTTATAATTAAAATAACTCCAAATCTATCCAAACCCACTTGCCAAACCATGCCATAGTTCTGTTCTTGGTCGATAACAAATTATTATGTCTCTTATTTTTATTAATCACCAAATACAAAATTATATGTTTCACTCTCTTTCTCAATCATAATATATATGAAACATCACATGGCATTGCCCTGAACCAACGAATAACTTCTCCTGACTAGCTGGTAGGATCCGGAGAGCTCTTTTATGCAGAAATAGTTCAGTAGAACAATAACAAAGGAGTAAATATACATTATTGAGATTGGATTAAAATATAAATTATTTTTATAATTTTAAAAATTACATTTTATCTTTGAGATTTTTAATTTTATAATAAATCACTCATTTTATTAATAAATTATTAAGTTAATTAACAGTTTTTAATGATATTAAAAATATGTTTTAATTAATAATTTAGATAATTTTATTATTGTATAGAAGAGCAATTATGAATTTTATTTTTTTAGTTAATTCTGTTAAATAAAAAATTATAATAAGGGGGTATTAATAATTTTCAAACCACAAAGGCAATCTTTATTTTAAACAAATCTCAAGGGTGTATTTGTAATTTACCCATAAAATAGTAATTATATTGTAGATAAAATATTTTATGGTACAATTCTGATATACAAAATGAACTTGCACTATCTATAAAAATAATTTATGTCATACACACAAAAAACTTCATAAAATTAAAAATTAATGTGTTTGGTTTCAGTTTTTTAGAAATTACATTTTTTATGTTTCATATTTTTTATTTTTAGTGAATATTTTTAAAATTTTAGGCAAATTTTTTTACTTTTTTATATACACCTTACTTAGATGTATCTAAATAGTAAAATATTTGTCAAAAAAATATTTTAAAAATTAATAAATACACAAAAATACAAAAAATACACTAAATTTTTTTTTTAATTTATATTTTGATATTTAGTGAATTTTTTTTTTAAAAAAACTTATAAATATTATGGGTATGTTTGGTTTGTGTTTGAGAGATGTGTTTTAGAGATAAAAAGTACGAAAAGTTTTTGGTTTGGTTTTTTTCAAAAGATGTTTTGAAAAATTATTTTGAGAGAGAGTTTTGAAAAAAGTGATTGATTTGATGTGTGTGAGACAGAGATTTGTTTGGAAAACTTGTTTGGTTTACAAGTTTTGAGAAATTTTTCTGGGAAAATTTGTTTGGTTTGATTACTTTTAAAAACTTATTTGTAGAGAAAATTTTTCAAATTTTTTTCAGAAATACAAACCAAACGAACCCTATACTTTTTAAGTATATTTATGTTAGGTGTATTTAAAATTAAAAAAAATTATTTAAAATATTAAAAAAATATATAAAATATAAAAAAATAAAATTTTCTAAAAAGTATTTTTTGAAAAGTAAAATCAAACCAGCTGAATATTTTTTTCACTGATTTCACTAAAATACAATTTTCCCCTCTTCTATTGAGAATCAATTATGAAGGAGATGGGTGGGTAAAAGGAGCAGAGCACTTCATGTGAATATTGTGTCAGTACTCAACGATAGTGTCTGGTTGGTCAGAGATCCTTCTGGTTAGGCATGAATGATCTTTTCGGTCTTTGTCCTTTTCTCCAATTTACTTTTTCTTCTTTTTAGGTCCCTTCCCTTCATTTTCGGGTTTAAAAAGTTGCTTTCTCTTTTTATTTTTCTTTTCACAGAGTATTTGGTTTGCTAGATAAAAATCTGTTTTTGCTAATTTCAATAAGAGGGGTAATATATATTAGGTAAATTTAAACATTCTTACAATAGCTCCGTTTGGCAAGGGTTTTTGTAGTTATTTTAATCACAAAAGATAAAATAAATTATTTTAGTCATAATAAATAAAATATTACATTTAATCTATAATCATTACACTATTTTCTCACAAAAAAAATTAAAAAAACTAAAAAGTCAAAAAGCTAAAAAGCTCTTCTCAAACCAAGTTTTTTAACCCAGGCTAAAATAGTTAAAAAAATCCAAAAAACTAAAAAGCTAACCCACTTCCCAAACAGAGACTATGACTCGTTCACATTTTACTTTTCAAAATTTCAAAATTCAATCAGCTTGCTTGGTTCCCATTTTCTAAAAATAGTTTTCAGAAAATTCTACTTTCTTATTTTCCGTATTTTTTTGTTTTTACTGAATTTTTTAAATATTTTATGCAAATTTTTTACTTTTTAGACACACCTAACATAAATACACCTAAAAAGTAAAAAAATTGTAAAAAAAATCTTTTAAAAATTCACTAAATACCAAAAATACAAAAAAATAAGAATTCAGTACATTTTTTTGTATTTTTATGTATTTCTTAATTTTTTAAAATATTTTTTCACAATTTTTTTTTTTACTTTTTAGATACATTTAAGTAAGGTGCATCTAAAAAAATAAAAAAAAAATGTTTAAAATTTTAAAAATATTCACTAAAAATAAAAAAATATGAAAATCAAAAAATTCAATTTTCAAAAAATTTAATCCAAAAAACTCAAACCAAACACACTGAATAATATTATATTATTATAATTAACTATTTTTGTTAAAATTTTGTTAAAAATTTACATAAAATCAGATCATATCTTAAGTATATGACATGTTTATTAAATTTTTAGAATAATGATAGAATCCCTATATGGTGATCTAATTTCTATTTTGCCACTCAGACAAGGGAGATAAGTGCATATAATATTATCAGATAAGAGTGTTATTTGTCATGAAAATATCAATAACAAATATTATTGTTTCAAAAGATCAGTAAGTGTATCATGTATTTTACACGTAACCTAATTTTGCTTAAATCGGTAATAGAATTCTAGAAAAGTGTAAATTATAATAAGATAATATTTTCAAGTAGTTGACTATGGTCCCGTTTGGTATAGCTGTTAAAACAGTTTATAGATTATAACTTAACAGATTATAGATTATGACTTCATTCAGAAGTTGTTAATCTGTTTGGTGTAACTGTTGGATTATAGATTTAAGTTGCTGAGTAGTGTTTATTAAATAAGCTGTGAAATAGCTTTTTCAATTAATTTTTATTTTTTGTTTGTCTACATTTCTTATAAAATAATAATAATCTATAGTCCATTTGAGTCTTTTTCTATTTTTAAAAAAATAAAAAATAAAAAAATTTAAGAGTATAACTATAAATTAACATGTCCACAGCAGAAGCTAATAATCAGAAGCAAGGGGTGAGCAACTTCTCAGAATCAGCTTTTTTGAGTTAAAATAAGCTGTTAGAATCCGAAACTGTTTGAAATAAGTTTAACTAAACCGTCCAAATTAACTTTTTCAAAACTAAAAGCCATAAGTTGGCTCTGAAAAGTTTAAACAAACACCCCCTGTGTAGTTTTGAAGTTTAGGGAACAAAATATAATTTTACTCTATATATTAGAATGAATATAGGGGGATGCACCAATAAATCCTAAA